TTGTTTCAGTTCGTTGCTGATGCAAGTAACATACCCTTCCTCATTTATGCTGTAGCCTTCATCACTTCTTATGTGAACCTGGTTGAACTGGTTTGCTAAGATTGTCTTGCGTGTGTTACATTTTGTAGGCTTGGGCAGTGCCTTGTTCTGCAAAATTAAAGGTGCGTCAATAAAGTACTTGTATTTTGCGGCGAAAAACATCCAACCGTTGCCATATATTCAGCAATCCCAAGTTGTTTGCACCGCCTGAATTAACGCGAGTTTGGGTACTATTTTCAAGCAAAACTGAAAATAATTATCCACATGACAAATCGTGAGATTTGCATTCCTTAGACTAGAAGATTTAGCTGGACAATTTGCGGAATATTTCGTAAAGAACAAGCACAGCTGACCGTAGATCTCACTAGACGGTAGGTGACCAAATGAAATGGAGTACAATTTTGTTGACAACCCTATGAAAAATACTGCGAATTCCCGTTTCAGTACATTCAGACTAACCACATTGCTGCCACCAGAATACAGGCGTTCGTCCGCATGACTTCCTGTTCTCCCATTTACACAGGCTACAAAACTACTTCAAGAAATCAGTTCGCGTGCAATTGTGATGCTCCAAAAACCACAGGTCATCTTGGGAGACGGAATCTAAACGGAAAACATGTGTGGGTGAATTCTTCCAAAGTGTACTGTTGGTGGGGGTTTCTTTCACCTAAACCAGGGCACGCACGAGATGGAAGTAGTGTGGAGCGATTAAATCCGGTTAACTACATCACGAATAAATTCATAAAACGTATCTGTTAAGCCGTGTGGTGTGACGGTATCGTATGGTGCGTCAGACAGATATGGTTGCCAATATCACTCTCAGGAGGCCACGTTTCTGCGGCTATCGCCAGCGGGCGAACCCACAAAAATGTAGAATCAACTTCGACACATGCACAACCGGGCTAAATGCACTCAGTTCGAAAGCAGATCTTGCAAGACACAAAGTCTGACCGCCAGGAGAAATAACATATTTCTTCAGATAAGTTATCACCTTCTGTAAATCAGGCTTGACCAGGCCCGTTCAAAAGGTTAGTTACTACGTTTGGTATCACAGTAAGAGCTGATTTTTTAAATGGCATGAAACATTGCCAGTTTCATTTGTTCCTTGATACACAGCGTGAATGCGCGCATATCAATCAATGTGTTCTGTTATTCCAAGCGTGCGAAATCGTACTACCACCGCATCACCATCATCATCATCACCTTCATCGGTATCACGACATCAGTGTTCAACAAAAATGCTTCACAGCCGTCCAACCGTAATTTATTTGAAAGCCCTATTGTGGACAGCGAAGCGAATGTGTCGAAATGTTAGTAGCCCGCCGAACTTGGAAATTGGCCCGCAAATGTTTCGTCAATGCGAATCTAAAAAAAGGCAAATCGAAATGGAGGAGAAGACTACTGAAACAGAAGTATTCGGGATGACCAGTCCACTTGAAGAAACGCAAGCCAAGATGGCTAACGGACCAGTAAATTCAACAAAAACGCTGTCACCCAACAAACCAATCAGGTCAGGAGATAACCGACAGCCATTGAATAACTTATAAACGCACACAGGCAAACAGGAAGCACCCACCCAACTGCGCGCTCTGGATGTCCCGTCGTATGGCAATGAAACGTTTTAAGTCCAATGTCAAGCTCGGCGAACAGATCGACAGCCACCTGATTAACAAACAAAATGGAAGGGACTTCGTGCTACCCTAATACAATTATTCGGTTGTGTTATGGTCGGTATTTCAGATGCTAACAACCGGTTTGATCGCACCAATCCAATCAGCTGGATCCACACATCTGTTGTCTGCAACCAAAGTTATGGAAGCGTTTGGTCCGCAGAGTAAGTTTCAATATCTACTCGTATACCACTTGCAACATACTCGTGACTTTATTCTTTTATTCGTCCTAATTTATAGCTGCTGAACGGCCAGTCCATAATAAAACCTATTGGGCATTGATGCCTTTTTATAGGTTCCTAAGCGTGTGTTGGGGCTTGTATAAATGGATTATAGTCCAAATGAGAAGGGCTTATTGCCCTGTTAGAACATTTCGTCGTGAAGGTTGAGTCGTTTCAATCAGATCGGATCCACGTGGGCCACGTTTAAATAAGCGGGAACAATTTGTGCGATTCTTCGGCCACAAGCTGACTGAGTAGCATGAGCTGAAGCAGTCGCATTAGGAGAGTGCAAAATGACGATGTTCCGCGGTAGGCAACAAAACGTGACTCGCAATCCTTTCCTTGTTTGCCCACAAGCATGAATGATTGGCTCAAACTGTGATGGTGCAAATTTGTCGGTTTCAACCATTTGCTGAATTCGCTACTTGAAGTGCCGACGACAAGATACTATTCGAAGACCTGCCATCAGCATTGTTATCAAACTTGTCGGAATACGGATGATGGTTTGATGAATGTAATATCGTCTTCATCCATTCTTTAGGCCATCTAAACAAAAACATGCATGAAGTTCACTGACATGAGAAAGTATAACCATGACTGTGACAAGCTGGATCACATTGGATAACAAAAACTCACGTGTCCACTGGTAGTTGAATAAAACCTAGGTCGTCAAATCTCAGGCTGTGCATGGTCGGGTAGAATTTACCTGCATTTCCTGCACGATCAATGTGCTCCCGACTGCCATGCTTATTTACAATCAAAATATGCTGGAAGTAACGAATAGTTTAGCTTAGTTTATCGATCATGTGGCTTCCTACATTGTTGCGATATTTCGAATCTTTGGTGGTTTTCTAACAACGGCTCATTTTCGCAGGCATGTCTGGTCTGGCATTCGCTGGATCGCATGTGGTAAGTGTGTTAATGGTCAGAAAATGTATGCTTTTAGCGACATTGATTACTGTTTTGCTAGTCGGCAAATAATCAGTTCATATACTTACACGAGTTTTTTTAGTGACAGTATTTTCAGCCGCTCAAATTATTTATCAATAT